GACTCGAACTCATCCGGCCGGGAGCCAAGTGTTCGGATATCGCTCAGGAACTCAACCACATGTTCGCCGAGTTCGGACTTCTGAAGTACAGGACCTTCGGCTACGGCCATTCCTTCGGTGTCCTGTGTCATTATTACGGACGGGAGGCTGGTACGTAAAGTAGGAGGTTATTCGTGTTGTTGGGAATTCAGAACCGATGTTGTGGTGAATCGCCGATCTTTTATTGCAAGGAATTTATGCAAAGCGTGGGATTTTTTTTGTTCATTTAAGGAGTTGATTGATGAATTTTGTTTTAATTTTTTCTTTTTCTTCTTTTCTTTCCTTTTTATATACATAATTGGCAATCGTTAACGAAATTGCGAGGTAATATTCAAAACATATTTCGAAATGACATTAGAAACATTCATTAATATTCAAATCTCTTCATCATAATCATAGGGGTTTCAGTACCCTCATTCACGTTTCACCCAACTTATAAATAGGATAGTAAAAGGGCTTGAACAGACATGGCGTTAGAGAGAGAGAGAGAGAGAGAGAGAAGAGAGAGAGAGAGAGAGAGAGAGAGAGAGAGAGAGAGAGAGAGAGAGAGAGAGAGAGAGAGAGAGAGAGAGATGTGGTGTGTGTGTGTGTGTGTGTGGTGTGTGAGAGAGAGAGAGAGAGAGAGGGGGGGGGCTGATTGAATAGGTGAGTGAGCGAGGGTGTGACTGAGAGAGTAAGTGACTAAAAGAGAGAAGAGAGAGAGAGAGAGAGAGAGAGAGAGAGAGAAAGAGATAGAGAGAGAGATAAAGAAAGAGAGAGTGAGAGAGTCCTACAGACAGACACAAACAGACCAGATCAACCCCATCCCACCAAACCCCCCTCTCTCCCCACCCACAGGCCTGGAACTGCGAGAGGACATCGACACGGTGCTGGAGCCTGGCATGGTGGTGTCCATGGAGCCTATGGTCACCATCCCCGAGGGCCAACCAGGCGCAGGGGGTTACAGAGAACACGACGTCATGGTCATCAACCAAGACGGCTCGGTTGATAACATCACTGGCTTCCCCTTCGGCCCCGAGCACAACATCTTCAAGAAATAGGGAGAACAGGAGGAGAAGGATAGTAAACAAGGGGTGAAAATGTCTGAAATCTTCTTTGGGAAATGGAAAGAAAGATAAAGGAACAAATCTTTCGAAGGAGTGGGAAAATAAAATGATCTTTTAAATAAATTAGGAAATGGAGAGAAATATAAGTGGACAAATATTCTGAAATATATTATTCAAAGAGGAGAAGGGAATGTTAGAATAGAATAAAAATGTCCTGACATTTTTATAGAATAAAAATATATTGTTATAAATCTTGCTTTCCTTGTAGGTAAATCCAAAATGAAAAGTTTACATGTCGACAGTTGTTGTAAACAACATTTAAACATAAAACTAAATGCAGCGCAAGCAAAATTTATTAACAATATCCGTACATTGCATTTACTGACAATGAGAAAGCATAGATTATATTAAAAATCTACCTGCCATTTACTGACAGTGAGAAATGACGCTAACGTATAAATAAAATCAAAATGCTTTATTCAAGCTCTGACAAAATGTAGCCTGCAGACTCATGACATGATAAATTCTTGTCCTCTTGAGCTCCTTCATTAAGCTCTGCCTCCTCCCCTCCCTATCTCTCCTCCCCCTCCCCTCTCCCCCCTTCCCTCCCCTCCTCTCCTCTCCCCTCCCCCCTTCCCTCCCCTCCCTTCCCCTCCCCCCCGACCACACTCTCCACTGCAGCTCACGACCACCGCAACTCTGCCGCCGCACCGCCTCCTTCCCCTCGCACAGACTCCCACAGACCAAGAACTTTCCGCGGTCCCCATAAAACAGACAGGCACACACAAACGCGCATCCAAGACTTGATATCAAACTACGACCGGAAATTAAACATGGGTTATCCCGGCAGAATGGGACGGCGCGACAGCTGTTGATTATGTCCAGCTCAGTGAAGCTGCGGCTCCGCTCCTCTCTCATCGAGGGAGGAGGGAGCGCCGGCTGCGACGACCGGGAGTTGCTCCTCTGAAAATTTTGCTGTCGATTCTGAGCCAATTTATATCCAAACACACGCATACACAAACATGCATATATGTATGAAAACAATACATTTAAGATTTAATATATTATATATATATATATATATATAATATATATATATATATATATATATAATAATATACATATAATATATATATGTATATTATATATACATATACATATATGTAAGTATGTATGTATAATAACCATACATATATACATATACATACATATACACACACAGGTAGTAGATAGATAATATATGTATGTGTGCGTGTGTGTGGCATACAGTGTAATACATACATACATACATATATATATATATATATATATATATTATATATATATATATATCATTACATATATATATATATATATATATATATATATATATATATATATATATATATATATATATATATATATATATATATATATATATTAATATATTACATATACTATATATGAAATAATATCATATATATTATATATATATATATTATAATATATATATATATATATATATATAATATATATATATATATATATATATATTATATATATATATATATATATATATATTATATATATTATATATATATATATATATATATATATATATATTATATATATACATACACACACGACACACACACACACACACACACACCACATATATATATATATATATATATATAATAATATATATAAATATATATATATATATATATTATATTATATATATTTATATATTATATATATATATATATATATATATATATATATATATATATATATATATATATAATATATATATATATATATATATATATATACATATATATATATTATACATACATATATATATATATATATATATATATATTATATATATATATATATATATATATATATATTATATATACACACACACACACACACACATACATATAAACACGGTTTATAAACATATTTTTTAGGTAGAGCCTCTTGCTCAGGTAGAGGGTGTTTCGGGCTCCCATAAATCACACGCACATCACTCTTCGCGAAGCCGGAAAACCCGCTTCCTTATTTTCCCGGGGTCGGCGAGGCAACAGGCGAGGCTCAGGCATTAACGTCTCGTAAATAAGCGCGTGTTTGCGGTTGACCCCGGCCGTAATTGACACTCCCATCTCCACTGACGTAAGAGATGTAGAAGGGGGAATGACGAAGAGAAAAATGGAGAATAAAAAGTGTTGTCTACAAAAGAAAAAAAAAGAAAAAAAGAAGAAATCGGGTTGTTTTTCTTTTATTTTGTTTATTTACATGGTGATTGAGAAGTTGTGAAGTTTAGGGAATAATGCCAGCTTCTTGAAAGTTTCTTTTGTCAATGTATATTGCGTATACCAATCTGTATACTCTTCCAATGAAAAATATGCCTTAGTGATATTTATTTGAGCCTGTAACCTCTTTTATAGCCTACCCTGTCCTTTACAGCCCATAATCCTTTATAGTCTGTAATTTATATAAGGAATATATATCTTGACCTGTAATGGCATCGTATGAATCACCGCTACAAAAAAAAATCGTATATAGTCTCTGGGATTTAGCTAATATTTGCCATCACAACAGAAATTCATTATAAAAAAAATGAATAAATAAAAAAATCGTATGCCGTGTCAGAATAAAAGCGTAGTCAGGGCTGCTGGATTGAAAATTAGGTTCAAATTCGGTCAAAATCTAGCCAGTAATCATTTGGACAATTTTTGTTACCATAAGGGTGACTGTTTGTACATAAACACGGGGAGTGAATTGGTGGGCGAATAAACAAAGGTTTGGAACAGTGGAAGGCTGTGAAATCATTTAATGTAAAGTGTTTGATTATCTAGCTACTGATATTGTCCGTCTGAACACAACATCTGGGTGAGGCTGCGTGAACACCGTGCGAGTCGTGTCAAGACATCTGATGCGTCAACCCGAGACGTCACCACACGATGAGCCATTTGGTTTGAGGGAGAATGGAAGCCAATTCTCTTGCTGAGGCAACTGCTTTCGTCGCTGCAGGCATAAATGTAAAACGAATCTGGATGCATCATCTGGACACCAAGAGGCCAGATTTCGGGAGCTTCAGTCATTTATTCCCAGACCTGGTAAACCATGCAGAAAAATTCTATTTTTTTCAGGATGACAAATGAAAATCGAAAGAAGCTGAGAGAGTTAACTGGACCTTCCATTAGAAAAATCAACACTACTACCAGTAACTATCAGCTCTATGTACCAGGGTATGACGTCAAAAATAGGCCCAGCCCTATTTGTGACACGACGCGACGCTACGTGATGACTCGAAGCATCCGGTGTAAACGTTTTTTTCAAAGATCCAAACAAATCGGTGACGTGACTGGGGTGGCGATTCATGATGCGTCATGACTTATCTTACTTGAAGCGACTCGCTCGGTGTAAACGCAGCCCAACGCAGCCTTTACCGGAAGTACAGTCGCGGTCAAAACTCTTGTGAAACATGTTTCGAATTCCGTTTCAACATCCGGACGACTCGTAGAGGGTAAGGTTCGAAGCCTCAATTCATGACTTGACTCTTGTCCGTCACTGTATCGCCTTGTACGAACTTTCGTGACTGAACCTTTTAGGTGAAAGTATTGTTTCTACTGAAAATAAAATTGCTGAATTTGATTTCTACTCATGCCTTAGAGACACATCAATCCTTATAACACATTATGATAATATAGTTTACAGCAGTTTTATTTTATCGTTCATCATTTGAGGCGAGAGATGAGAGACCCAGGACTCATTTTAATTCTCCTACAATATCGCGCTTTGTTTTGCACGAGGAATCGGTCTAACGTTTGGGGTTTTGCTTAGTTTTAGTTGAAGTCAAAATCGGCCAAAATAAATTGACCGTCGCCGTTAACTGAACTTGGTTAGGAAAGCGGATGTCTGGCG